GGTGTTCTGAGTTTTCTCCCAGTGTTCCCTCCAGCACTGCTCTAGCATACCTGCTTATGTATCTGACAGCTGTGTTTCAGAGAGAAATGCTAAAGTCTCCAAAAGCTATAGGGTTTGGCCATCTCGTTCACTTGAAGATAAGATCAAAAGAAGCAATTGTTTTGCTTTGTAAGTTTGGACAGAATCCTGGCAAGATAAGAATCTAGCACAAGTATTTTGATACAAACAGCCAACAGTTGAAATACTTACACCTGAGACTACTTTGTACACAACTTGCACAACCTCATGAAAAATGCCTTTTCATTCATGTTATAATGATTCATAATTACTTTCATATAAACACTTTTCTTCTTAATTTCGGAAAGTGTCAGGATATTATCCAAAGTGTCTATGATATTACTCAGTGAGGTACCTGAGGCAGGATGTATTTCATCAAACTTAGAGATGAAGTGACTTGCCTAAGGTCATGTTGGATCAACCAAGGCAGAGTTGAAGAACAATCTAGGGGCTCCTCCTAGTTTCCTAAGGGAACTCTGGTAGCATAGTGCCTAAGGCACTTCACTGCTAACCAGAAGGCTAGCAGTTCAAACCCACCATCCACTCCTCGGAAGGAAGATGGGGCAATCTACTTCTGTAGTGACACTGCCTTGGAACCCCAAGGAGGGGTTGCTATGAGTCGGGTCCGACATGACATCACATAACAACAAACAACAACAACCTAGTTTTCATACACCAGCTCTGTAGTTCATGGGGATCCAACCAGAAATGCAAAAAGAACAGTATGGCTAAGCCACCCAATCGCTGGGATATTCCGAGTCCCTGGTGCTACTGGGCTGACCACAACCCCTCATAGCCAGGCTTATCTGCATGTTCGGTGCCCTGCTGAGCCAGGGCTACACAACACAACCTGACTGAAATGATACTGTAGGTTTATACATGTGGTCAAACAGAACCTCTGTCTGTGGGATGCTGACAGACAAACTGAGTCAAGTTAAATGTAATTTTAAACCATTTAATTGTGCTGCCCTCCGAGAAGACACAGCCTCTATAAAAATTAGAAAGCAAGACAGAAAAAGAAAACTCTCCATGCTTCCATCTGTATTAAGTTGATGACATTTTTTTTTTTTCCCTTGGGAAAATATCACTAATGGCACTTAGAAGATGGCTCCAAAGTAACATTCTAGAGTTGAATACTCTTATTAAAAATGATTTCCTTAATGAAGTTAGTTAACTACTCCCTCTGATTTTCATGACAAACCTGAAAACATACCACTGGGTTGCTAAGCAAAGCCACAGGATGTCATTTAGTGCATCTTAATTACATTTACGTACATGAGCCTTCAAATGGCCCCGTAAGGCTGTGGAGCCATGCTAAAGTGCCTTTATCCCAGAAGCAGATAGTCTGGCAAAAAGCCATGTGGGCACAAGCTGGAGATTTTATTAGCAAAGATTTGTAAGTACACAACTACTATCTCTTTTCAGCCCTGATTTACCTCTTGAACAATGAACCTAGAGAATAAACTCTGGGTTACTGAGCTCATGGGGCAGTCAGCAGTGATTCAGTGGTAGCATTCTAGCTTTCCATGTGGAAGACCTGGGTTCAACTTCCAGCCAAGACACCTCACGTGTGGCCACCACCCATCTGTCAGTGGAGGCCTACATGTTGCTATGATGCTGAACTAGTTTCAGCAGAGCTTCCAAAGACGAAGGTAGGATAGCTTGGCAATCTCCTTTCAAAAGTCAGCCAGTGACTATCCTATGGATGACAACAGTCTGATCTGCAACTTATCTTGGGGATGGCACAGGACCTGGCAGCATTGCGTTCCACTATGCACAGTGTCGCCATGAGTCAGCACCAACTGAAAAGCAGCTAACAACTGACCTCAGGAGCACAGGCATCTCGACTATGCA